ACTTAGGGAAATAGATTATGAAGATGCAATTAGAGATTTTGCTTCCGCCAAAAGCAAGAAAAAAAAAACGATTTTAGGGTAATGTTTTGGCATGCTTCCGTAATATTGAACAATAACTATATTGTTTTTATGTACTTAATTCATTCTTATTTGTCATGTTGTAGAAGTAAATAATTATTATTATAATCGTTTAATTTTAATATATCATCCTTAAAAGTTAGATACATCAAATTTTAATTTACTTCAAATAATTAGCCCATATTCTGTATTTAACTTAATATATATATCAATTATAATTAACTTCAAATTTGCTTCCAAGGGGCCTACAAAAAAAAAAAAAGTGCGCCAGAGCCTCAAACTACCTTAATGAAGGCTTGTGTTTCACCACTACCCTTCTAGAACTTAATCGACCCTTGAGCAGATCCAAGCTCTAAAAGGATTTTCTTCATTTTAAAGATGTCTAATTGGAGGCGATGACATATCTGGTGTTGTTAATGTTTCGTGACTGTTAACCCTCGGACAGGGCACTTCATAAGTTGGTTCCAGTGTTTTCAGGACTACTTCACTGACTCCTGTTTCACGGGAGTCTGTAATGGTTGGGTAGCCTGCCACTAAGCTACTTGAAGATTTGACTCCTCGGGATTCGATGTAGCCATACTCGGCACTTCCTCTATCACTGGTACATCCAGTGGAGACTTGAACTCTACTCGAATTTGTACTGCCAGTAAGGAGTGCCTGGCTCCAGGAGATTTCAGGGTTAGCTGATAGCAGTGTGCTTTCACATGTCTCATTTGACAACACATCTTAATTCATCGCCTTATCTATGATAAATTTTAGGCAAGCTTCAGGAGTCCAAGGGTTAGCCACATACCCCAAATCCTTACTGAAGAGGAATTAATGAGTGTACTGGTTTTCATCAAAATTATGTTCCATGATACAGTATAACACACTTATGGGAGGCTGGCAAAATAAAGAGAGGATGGACACTGGCTAGACAATGAAAGAGATAGCCAGAAGAGCCAAGAATTTGATTTTAAATAGCAAAAATCTGTATTGAAAAGGAAAGACTAGATAATTTCAGATTGGTGAGAATTTCAGACAAATGCATAGGTTGTAAAAAGGGTCATGACTGCCTGTTTACAATCGTAAATCCTAAAGTTACATTTCACGTGCACTTGTATCTATATCATCCTAACATTTGTGAACTTCTTGGTTCATGAGGTTTCATTGGGTCTCCACTTGACCAGTACCTATATCTGTGCTATTCTCTGTCGTCCCAACTAAACAATAGTCAACACAGCTTACCCACCACCTCAGTCGCATTCTTTGTACATTCTGATTGTCACATGGATGGAACTTGTATAAAGCGTGGACATGTACAAAGCTACTTTTGTAACCATTAAAATGCATTAACACTTACATTGTCTCCCTCTTGGAACTTTCTTCTAGATACAAGTTTAATAATAGCAAGGTGCGAGTTACAAAGTGGCTCTTCGTTGATGTTACTTTTCGCTTCCAGCAGTACAGTAACAGCTTGCATTTTCATGTGTTTCGACTGCAACTTGTACTAAAATACTGCAGTCTACCATACTGAAAATATTCTCGTCATGATAAAATAAAACAGTGGGTACACTGAGTTTATATACTATATAACACCTAATTAAGATATTGTCCATGGATTTTACTTACTACTGATAATTTTACCCACTACTGAATGTTTTGATTCGATCAAATCAAATATTTTGCACTGCTTTTTCCGAAAACCACAAGGTAAAACTATATTTTATCTGAGACGTAGTGTTTTTGTTTTTTTACTTTTATTCATCCATAAGAATGCTACACCTGCTGAACATTTTAATGTCGAAATTGTAACTAATGTCACATTTTTTACTGATTTTCTAACTACCTGTTATCCTGAGTTATTCAACTGGGGTACCACATGCACTTTCCCCTGGGAAAGATTTCTGTAATGTTAAACATACTATGTAGAAATGGACAATGATCCTTTCCAACAGTGAGTCAGGTGATACCTTGAGGTTATACCATCTCTTATTTTGTGATGGAAATGACCAGCAGTCACGTTGGTAGCACACATTCTCTGAGAAGAATGGAATTATTGTTTTATGTATATAATGCTATTTGTACTCACTCTGCAAATCTTCTTCATACAATTATGTAGCTCTTAAAAAACCTTAGTTCAGTGCTGCTGATTTTCGGAAAAGGTGCTGGATCTCGTACACACTCTTTAACTTTGATTGTATTTTGTTTTGTGAATTATTATTGTTTCATTTTACTCCACATTGTGTCTAGTCTCTTTAATTTTTTAAAGTCAGTCAAAGCCAGAGAATTCAGGTTTACTCAATGAGACATATTCTGTTGAAACCCACAGTTAATCTGTGGGTCCTACTCACTTACTCTTAAGGGAAATCAGTGCACTTGAGAATAACACACCCCATAAAAACAGTAGAGCTTCATTTATCTGATATATGGAAAGACAGTATAACGACTTCGTACACTTTTAAATGACACAGCGTTGAAGTCAAATGGGTACAAAAAATAATAAAATGGTTTATGATGAGGGACTTGTACAATGTGTTCTAGCTCTTTCGGATCAGGAAAACGAATTGTCTTCTTTAAAATCCAAAATAATCTGATGTGAAATCAATAAAATTGTATTCACAATATACATCCTATCCGTAACTGACTAATCATGTAAACGCGAACTGTGTAGAAACCTTTTTGCTCCATATAACAGTCGCAAAGTAACCTTTATACATAAGCTCAAGTGGATTCAACGCAACTAACTTATGAAACATCTGATAAAAGCGCAAATAGCCCATTGTGTAGCTTTGTGCTAAAGTAAGCAAATGAAAGTTGGAATAATGTTAAGAATTTTCAAAAGAAAATAAAAACGTTAAATTAAATGCTAGACTTAAATGACAGAGATAGCGAAATGTGAAGTATAAATTCGTAATTTCATGCATATACTTAACTTTTCAAGTTGTACTTATATAGTGATATAAGCATTAAAAATAAATATACGAAGCTGTTGCTATGTCAAACTTAAGCAAAATGCAGTGTGATTCTGGCCGTTAGTGTATGAAAACACAATAATAAACTTCCCACACAAAATAGAAATAGTCCTCTTGTGCTTGCTTTTTTACCTTTCCGAAAACCCAACGTGTTTCACGTTGTTAATATTATCTGTGTAACATGATATAATGCCTCCCAGTAGCACTGCTGTATTTCTGCGGACTTACAAGGCTAGAAACCGGGTTTCGATACCCGTGGTGGGCAGAGCACAGATAGCCCGTTGTGTAGCTTTGTGCTTAACTACAAACACATATAACATAAATATAATATGTAATCGTTTTCCAACCTGTTGCAAAGATATTTGAGAAAAACTAACTTATCTTTATAACACAAAAAGTACTGTGATGACAAAGAGTCGCAAAGTACATGCAAATTGAAAGTAAACAAATCGTTATCTAAGTAACTTAAGTATAATAGCAAATAACAATAGAATAAACTTAAATTTCGAATATTGTGTTTCATAATATCTAACTACATTTATTTTGATACATATATCTATTTACGAAAATAAACTGTCTCCTCAAATAAGTTTTTTAAATGAAATCTATCTTCTGTTTTTGCGTTTTTATAGTATAATTATCCACCGATAGAGTGGTTGGGAAAGGTCAGGTTTATATTATAATTTATAGGACTATGCCAACAATAGACATTTATATATGGCTTGTATATGTTTATGGTTCCAATTTGCTTCATGATTACCGAGGTATCAACTGAATAAAAATTGTGATTAAACACAAGTTATTACATTTTGATTTATAATAAATATGTCTCCAAAACAAAGAAAGATTGCTATAATGGGTTTCCGTTCTGTTGGTGAGTAGGTTAATTATCACATTATCTTATAATGGAATAAAATTTAAACTTCATTTTTCCATGCTATTATTATTTGGGTATTCAATTTTCAGCAATTAGGTAACACGATTATTACTAGTATTACTCAGTTACTGATGCAGGGATTGGATAGCAAGTAATGCTAGATCATAGATGATAAATCATCGTAACTGGTACAGTGATACTGATACTGGTAAGATACTATTCTACTAAACCGCTCTAGGGCCCGGCATGGCCAGGTGGTTAGGGCGCTCGACTCGAAATCTGAGGGTCGCGGGTTCGAATTCCCGTCCCGCCAAACATGCTCGCCCCTTCAGCCGTGGGGGCATTATAATGTGATGGTCAATCCCACTATTCGTTGGTAAAAGAGTAGCCCAAGAGTTGGCGGTGGGTGGTGATGACTAGCTGCCTTCCCTTTAAATTCAAAACAAACTGCTCTAAAGTACTACTAACTTACTAAGTTAATACTTACAGTAACTAATTTGATATAACTGATTTACAGTTAGTAAGATGGTACTTTTAATACCTTAATACTTCTTAATGATAATTATAGTATTGTTTTAAATGGTGAGATGTTGTATTAATTTGTGTAAGGTTTAGCATTAGAACACTGTATCGCCTGTCATTTGTTACTGTGAATGTGTTTGGAGGCAGTCCTTTTTTATTTCAGGTGTAAAACTCAAGAATGTGATATGAATGTATAAATTGATGGACCAGGTGGTTATAGTATTAACTACCTGCTGTCACTGGGGTAAAATGATGAATATTGCAATCTTTGAAATAAAAATTACAAACGTATAGTAAAAAATTGTATTTTACATGTCAGATAGCTCTACACTCCTGCAAAGTTCCAAGATCAAGGATTCTATAAGTTAGGAGAAGTGTAACATTTTCTCCCAGGAAAGTCCATCAAATCCTACAATGTTTATCGTAGGACAGTTTTTGCTGAATTTGCCAGATATATCTTGATGTCAACAGAGTGTGCCTATAATAATATTAAATATATTAAATGCTTAAGAAAGTTTTTATTTGAGTATTCTTTGTTAGACTTTGAATTCACATCATCACAAGTTATTTATTTCTTCTGGTACCACTGTACCAAGTGCTAGTACACATTTTAAATTCTTGCTTTCAGATATTGATACACCCCTGGTAGTTGCATTTCAGACATTTGCACTGAAAGATTCTTTGAGTACAGAAGGTTACTATAATTGTGATTAACAAGATTGTTTCATTTGTACAGCATACCAAGGCAAAGTATATGGAAATGGGGATACTAAGAGTGCCACTTCAAATCATTTAGTTGGTTATCAAGGCAAATAGCATGTGGGCCAGCTAGCTAAACTCACATTATTCAGCTTCTGCAGTGCAGTTTTGCCACCAATGTTAGAAATAGTGCACATTATTGGTTGCTTGTTAGAGGTAATAATAGAATAGAAGTCATCTGAACTGCAGATGCCTTTTTTCCCCTACATTCCTCTAAGTTTTTCAATGATTAACCCAAACTTTAGACCTATTTGCTTCACCAGCTTTTGGTTTTGAAACTTTAACTTTTAATACTAAAATACTGGTTTTAGTATATGGTAACCATAAGCAGTGGAGTACTGTAGACTTTGATGATCCAGGCCCTTGGAGGGGGTTCAGGTGAACCTCTATTTTTGTGATGTAAAAAATTATGCTTATATAGTTATAACACAGCTGCCTTTGGTGTTTAACATTTTGTACATAGTTTACATTCTTCTGAAGAAGAATTAGCATTTTTTTGGCTTGAAATAGTCACATGCAATGGCTTCTGTTGACACTTTGTACTTAGAAGTTTGAAGTTATATTGCTACTGTCAGATTTTGTTGGCCGGATTCTTTACAGTAGGTGTCTATGATTTGTTGGCGATAAATTTCAACAATAAAGAAACAGCAACACAGTCAAATGTATATACAAATGTTCATTACACTGTTGGTTATCACAGTTGTATTCAGAAACTGTATGTAAGTTATTTATGGAAAAGCACTCCAGAAGAATAGAGCATGCTAACATGTTATTTCGGTAGTGCATACATGTTTGTATATGGTAGCCAATGATTGAAATAGTTAATATATTATTGTTGTACAGAGTTTTTTAAATTAGAAATATAATTTAACAGTTAATAACTACTCTGTATGTAGATAGTACAGTACTTTACTATAATAAAACATATACTGTATATATATATATATTCATGCTAATATAAGTCTAGCTCCCCACGCAGTTTTACAACAGAATTATGATTTGTTGACTTTCCATTGGATGTTTGTAGATTTTATGTGAACAGCCATGCAACTGTTTAAGCCAGTGGTTCTCACCGTGGGCCATATGGCCCCCCAAATGGCTACGCAATGTTTCTAAGGAGCCACACGTTAATGACGGAAAATTAGGGGGCCACAGTAGATTCTGAACGGGCCATCGAAACTTCACTGCCCGATTAAAATATTTCAACAGCCCAAGCTAGATTCAAACGTGACAAATATTATTTCTGGATAAGTAGTGAAATAGCTAATAAGTTTCCACAGCTCTGGGAGAAGGCAAAGTTGTATTTTATTGCTTTTCCCTCATCTTATCTGGTTGACTCTGGTTTTAGATGGGTGATTTATTTGCTATCAAAAATATGTAACAGCCTTGATGTTGTGAAGAGAGGTTATCTTCTGTTATCGCTGACCACACTGCAACCGGACATTCAGAAACTTTCAAGTATTCATCAGGCCCAAGGATCACACTGAATAAAATGTAAATGATTAACAGAACATTTTTTACTTGTATAAGTAAGCAGTATGTTATAAACAAAATATTTAAAAACAATTCAATATTGTAAAAATGATATTATGAATATACTATAAAGCAACAGTGTGGAAATAAAGTAACTTTTTTCCTAAATAACAGCATCTATGAAGGGTGGGGGGCCACAGAGATAAATCAAACTCAAAAGGGAGCCATGAGCAAAAGAAGGTTGAGAAACACTGGTTTAAGCTATATTTTCTGCAACTTTCTCATAGCACCTATTTTTTACAAATTTTCTGGGGGGCATGCTGTAGTATTAGCATGCTTTGTATGCTGATTGTGCTTCTCACAATATGTATTGGCTTTTGATCTCACAAATTAGAGCCCCCCCCCCCCTTTTTAAACAGAATATGAACTTGTCATAACATTTTTACTAAAGTAATCTTATCCTAACTAACACTGGTAAGCAATATATTAAACTAAAGGTAGACTATTATGTAGTCCAAATAAATGATTATTTAATCATGAGATTATTTTGTTCCATGATCATCATTGTGCTACTCTGAATGGCTAACAGAATTTTTTAAACATATTTAGAAACCTCAGTTAGAAAGCCAGTTAACTTATAATACTTTTGGGGCATTCTGTTATACTAGTGACTGATAAACCTTTTGCTTTCTAAAATGCATATTTGATAGCTACATGAATTCTTTTTAGGGAAACACAAATTTGTAATACTCAATGAAGCTTAGGGAATAACAGTTTTTTACTCAAGTGCAAACAAGTTTTTAGTATGCTGTAAGTACAACTGATCCTTGTTTTTTTTCTTTATTTTTTGTTTATTGTTATTATTTTTTAACAAAAGTGAATGAAAATTATAAACTTCTCAGCTTAGCCAAACAAATCTTGAATAAAATACAATCTCTAAAATTACCCAAGCTCAAGCTAGACAATGTGTGTGTATCCAGACTGCATGCTCTAATGTAAAGATCTTTGTAGACCTCGCGCTATAGTTGCACCCATTAGCATAACCTCTAGAACCTATTAAATATATATCAAACGTCTTTTTGTTTTTGGCAGAATTTTATATTCTATTTATTCAAACACTAACAGCATACTTGATTCTTAGGTCTGTTGAGAATTCATCAACTGAAAATATGAAATAAAATTAGTAATACCACTCCTTTTGAACTGACTACAGAAAATTCCTAATTATTTAGCTTAACAGTTTCAACTGTTAACATTTTCACATCTTTCTTTAATGGTTTTATTTTTTACTTTATGTCCACTGTAGCAATAATCTCTCCATTCACAAAACAATAAACCATAGCTGGAACCATTACTGTTTCTGGCAGTCCATCAGGCACAATATAAACAAAACACAGCATATGAAATATCACAGATAGTATCATCATATCTATTTTAATCATTCACTAAAACATAATTTCTTGCTAAGTGACTTATATCTACTCACATTTTTGTTTAGCAAATAATAGTAATTTAACAAGTTATGTGTTCCAAAAGAGTACCTTAAATTTAGGTTATAATTGCACTAGTTTTGATTGTTGGAATTTATTTTTATTCTGATTATATTTGCCCCCAAAACATTATTTAATGGTATTTTGTACTTTATTAGTTTAAAAGTGTTATTTATAATAAATGGCACCAATTGTAAATAAATGAAAGTTAAAACGGTGATAATGATAGTATCTGTGGAGACTTCATGCTATAGTGTAAATATCTTTGTAAACCACATGCTATAGTAGCACCTGCAAATGAATTATGAAAACTGTTAGATGAAAAGAAGTGCTTTTATTCTTAGCATAAAAATCACTTTTCACTCAGACTGTCTCAGTAAAGGCTTTGTAAATTTACATACAAATCTTTCATAAAAATAAATTATTAAAAAATCTGACTTTTTTTATGTACAACAGACTTTTAACATTTACCAAAATCTTGCCAAATATTGTGAAGATACACGTATGCACCGATGTTGCTCTTACATGGTTAAACTGAACAAATTTGAATTAATATAAGATTAACAAGGGGCCATTTGGTTCATCTAAAGAAACCTCCTTTCATATATTCATCACAGATCTTTAAGATACTTGTCCAGTCTTCTCTTATAGTACTTCAGTGTTCAGCTTCTACCAAACTTGAAAACAGACTAATTCCATAGGCTGACAACTCTTGTTAGTAAAGTAACACTGCTTTAACCGGAATCATGTCTAAGTTTTAAAAAAATAAATATGCTGAAGAACATATCTGCATCTAAGTTTTTAAAACATACTACTACTTCCCCTAAAATATAAGTTCATGTATTTTCATTTGATAATTCAAACAAAACATCCATAGAAAATTGTCACAATCTAAAAATTATAGAACAACTATCATCTCTGATTCTTCTCTATTCCACAGAAAACAAGTACAAAATAAGTCTTGTCTCATAATTTAAATTGTTTATAGTATAGGTTAAACCTCATTTGGAGTAGTAAGTTCTGTTTGGTCTCCTTATTTTGGTGACAATTTAGAAAAGTGCTCTCAAAATGATTTTAGATTGGAAGGGTATTCATATGAGGAAAGGCTGAAATTTCATGCTTTCACTGGAGGGTCTCAAAAAAGACATGTGTGTTTTTTGAGATTCTTAAAAATTTGAAACTTGTGTAAATTCTGGTAACAAATTCTGCATGCAGTAAGACTACATAACACAAGTTTAAAATAGGGATTTACAAACTTGTTGAGAATATCCATTTGATTTGAAAGGTGGTTGCTTGTGTTTGTGGGAGAGGTGTGACCTGGTGTTAATGGGTCAAAAGGCATTTTGCCATTTTTTTTATTGTTTTTCTGCATGTGCGTTGGCTTAAAACTGCTAATGCTTAAGAATGCAATAGCAATCAAGATATTAAAAGTATAGTAAAGGTGTCAAAAATGAATTAAGCCTCTAAAATTTTGCATGTTAATGAACATTTAAAGCCTTAATATATGATAATCATTGTAAATATAAGATTATTCTCCATTATAGATTAAGAGCATTGCCATGAAATATGTATAGTTATTAAAAAACCTGAATAGTTCTTAAAAATTGTGCAGATTGGAGATATTTAGATATTTTGGGAGAGAGGTCTTCTTTTTCTTTACAGTAAAATCCCTTATTACTTTCCCATTGTTTTTGTTTAAATTTTAATTCAATGTCAGATCAAAGTTTTCAAATATCAAGTTAGAAAAACTACAAACTGTTTATTTTCTAAGATGGTATAGACTAATCTATTTTGGCTTTTATTGATCACTGCTAGTTAATTGTAAAGCTTAATTACTAAAGATCCTGTATTAAGTAGGTTCTTACATATTCTTATATAATGTATAAGTACTTGTACAAACAAACAGTCATTTATATTGACAAAACATGATACCAAACATGTTTACATTTGTTCCATTAAACTACCAGATTCACATTTTATTACATTTTGTTGTAGCAATCTTAACAACTTTCGCATGAACTTTCTTGTCTTTATATATAGGATTTTTATACCTGCCATCTATCAGAAGTGATCTGAGTGTGATAATTTTGCTTATTCATAGTGTTTTTTGTGTAATGTGAAAGTTATAATGCATTAGAAAAATTTTCTTGTGCAATGTAAATAGGAATTTTTAGCAAATTACGATTTTTCTGTAGTAAAATGAAAATTACATGCTGAGATACAAAAACAAATAGTAAAGTTACAATAAATGTTCATCAAGTTTCATCTATTTGTTTAAAGTTAATAACTTGTAGAGTATGTTTACTTTGCTTTTTTCTTGTTTATGTTAGGAAAATCTTCTTTGACAATACAGTTTGTAGAAGGGCAGTTCGTTGATTCTTATGATCCCACCATTGAAAACAGTAAGTCCTTGTCAACTTATATATATATATATATCGTTTAAACTAGTATTTTGATACAGGTACACCACTGATTTCCTGGCATCCTTGGTTCCAGAGCCTTGCTGGATTATCTGTTTTGCTGGACCAACAGAGGTTATATAATAATAATTCAACAATACACCTCTGACCCACTAATTATACTTTGCTTCTTTATATCGTAAACAGTGACGAACCGATACCATACGTATCACACAGTTTCCGCACAGAAACACTACGGTTGAGTTGTTTTAACAGTTCTACCTTTTCTTATATCGATATGGTGCTTATGCTTGAAACTGTCACTTGAACGTTGCTTAGAAGCCATAGCTAGGATTGAATGTAAGCAAAATAAGCTAAGAATCGAACAAAACCGAGGGATCACCACCACCAACTGTAGATGTAAACAATTAACTCTTTCGGGATGGAGGGACTTGATGCCATCTTTAAATTCTCTCTGTTGATATAAATAATTATTTAAACAAATTTCTTTAAATATTTTTTCAGAAAAATGTTAATTTTCAAATACGTTATATTTTGAATTTTCATACACTATTATCAACATTCTGTGTTGTAAAAAATTGAAGAAAAAATCGAAACTAAATATTTGTATCTTGTTAAACTACGTATTCTTGACAACATTCATGAAAAAATTCAAGCAATTTGATCCACTAGTTTAATATTTATAAGAAAATTTTCACAAGTGTGATGTACCTACTTAAAATGTAAGTAGCCCATTCCGAAAGAGCGCGCGCCACATGCAATGCCATCTGTGGCCTTTGAAGCCTTTTTCACATTAGAAAACATCTTAGAATGTTGAATTATTTTAGTGATTTACACCATGGCTTCTTGCAAAAAACTTACAGTAGTAATTAGTTTAAAAAATCATTAAATTGAAATGAAAAATACATACATAATAAAATTTTAAGTTCATGTTAACTGTTTCATCAAGAGGAAAAAAAACATGGGATACCAAACACATATTCATGATAGTAAAAGTAAAACATTCATAGGATCAGGATCTGTAAACATACATTAAAAGTTTTATCAGATTTTCTTGAAGGAATACAGTCATTATCTAGCAAAGGACAAGTAATTTAAGTAAATATTGAATGAACATGACATATTCTGGCTATAGGAAGCAATTTGGGAGTGGTCAGGCTATTGCCACATTGCCATTTCTAGGGGGTCTTGAGGCATGCCCCCCCCCCCTAGAAAATGTTTGAAAAACTTTAATCCTATGAGATTGAATCTTGAGCTATTTTAACTACAAATACTGCATACACACAACATAATGTATTGAATTAAAGAAGCAAGTTTTAATACTTAAGTTGTAGCAATACATGCCATGAAAAAATGGTCAGGCCATGGCCTGACTGGTCTTACTGCTTCTGTGGCCCTGATATTTGCAATTGTCAATTAAAGTTAGTTCATTTTTTTGTATAGTGTACCTAATACAGATATAAATAGTTTAAAATAAAAAGTGAATGAATATATGTATTGTATCTGCTTGACTTACAGTTCTATTAAATAATAATTTTGAAGTTTATATTTAGCACATTAATTTCAACTTTTGAAAATTAAAAAAGAATTATAAAAAACAATATATTCAGGCTTGCAGTTTTCTTTTTTTTTTAATTATAGCAAAACTATGGAAAAAGTTCCAGGAAGATATCCTAAATATAGAGGGTTGAGTACTCTGTTAGAATAATTTTGGATATACAAATTAAAGTCACTTGACAACCACAGATGATATAAATTTACAGTGAAACAAAATGTATCAGAACTACATTTTGACATTGTTTGGCATTTCATAGGCAGTGGAATAATAAGGGGGGGGTACTTATCCCCCAGGCACCAGGTTTGGGGGAGTGCCAAATTAACAACCAGTTTACCCAGAATTTAGCTGTTCCCTTAAGGCTAAGGTTCATTAAAATGTTTTTATGCTCGACATCAAATACTAGTATATCGTCAGAAATATCATGCCCAAGAAAAATCCCTGGTTTTCATAATTAAATTGATTAAAATAAACTGACATCTCATAGCTGATAGGAAATTTAGCAATTTTGTGAACACCTGACAATTTGAGGCTGTATTTATCAAGCTGTTAAGGGATTTTTGGCGGCCCAAATAATTCTATCTCAGATTTATTCATCTTATAATAATACTAATCAGGAGAGTTGTGGTGTATTTTTATATTAATCTGGAGTATAATATGTAACATACAAGTCAGAGATCTTAATTAGCTAATGATTCAAATTCATAAAGAATAATCCATAGCATCCATAAGTTTGGCAGCAATGACAATATGGTGAGATACAGTGCCACGTAAAGTTAGAAGTTAGAAAGTAAGAGTGTAAAGGGTGGGTGGAGTTTGGGATTTTTTTTTTGGAGGGTGTGTGTGCCCCAAATTATGTTCTTCTCCTGGGTACCAGACACCCTCACTACACCACTGTTCATAGGTAGTATGATGCCACCAAAAATTGATTGCTTTTGGAAAGGATATGTAACAACTCTTTTTTTTGGTGCATGATGTTTCTACACTATGATCATAAAGATGGGTTTGGATTAAGGATTTAGAATTTCTAAGACAGTGGATATACCTTGTAAAACAAAGGAATATAGATTGACTTATATAGTGATTAATTTTCTGTTTGATGAGTAAAATTGGGAAGCAAGACATAATATATGGGCAAAAAAAAAAACCTTAATGTCTCATAGTTTATATATGAATTGATAAATGAAACTTCAGTGAGTGCCACCTTAAAAGTATTTGTTTATTCAAACAATTTTGTAGACTTTCCATTTAATTCTGCACATTCACTACATAGAGTATCTACTAGAAGGGGGAAAAAAAGAGTGGCTCATTGTGAGCAATACAGAAACCCCAGCTGTTGTAAATTTGAACAATTCAGAGCATAGAATTGACATTTCCTCAATGAATGGGTGGGCTTCATCCTGTTTTCTACATTTAGTGAATGACTATATAGTGAGCCAGTCACTGTACCATGTGGGTCATCTTCACTAATAGTCTTGTAAATAGAACTGATAAATGTTTGAAAAGTATTAAAAACATATGGTATTCCATCCCATTCATGGAGACTTCTGAGCATCTGTTCACACACACATGCATACACAAAAATCATGTAAACTTAGGATTTATTTAAGACCAAATTTTCAATAGTTTGCTGTTTGAAATTAAACTTATTTGTGAATATTTGGAACATTTTTCATTATAGGAAAAGAAAAAAGGGAATGTAGATCAAAGTTTTTATTTTAAGAAGTTATAGTTTTTCATTACTTCACATTACTTTGATCATTTATATAGGGAAATACTGATGAATCAAATTTCATGTAATATTTTGTAAGGTTATTTAGGCAGGTAGATAATGTCAAAAAGAGTATTAGGTGTTTTCTAACAACATTTGTAATTTACAATTAGGTATGAAGTATACTGCTCTGTGTTATTTGACAAATGAAAGTTTGTGAAGAATTTATAAATTGTTTTGTATGTGTGTAGTAATAACTTAGATGCAGTAATAGGAGAGAGCAATTTTAATAACTAATTTTAAATTTTTGTTTTTTTTAATAGCTTTTACAAAGACTGTCAAGATTCGTGGCCAGGAGTATTTTCTTAAATTGGTGGATACTGCTGGGCAGGTAAAAAAAGAAATAATAATAAAAACTGAGATAACCTATTTTTCTTCAGTAAGCTCACCAATTTTCAGTTAGGAAAAATACAGCATAATAGACTCAACCATAAATATTAACGTGTATTTATGTGTGATTAGTTTAAAACATTTATTAGAAGGATAACATTGGCATTTTGTTTTTTTTGGTTATAATATTAGGCATATTAAGTCTAAATAAGCATAGATGATAGATGAGGGAATATAATATTTATTACATTGGAATTCAAATTAACAATGATATTATTTTATTTAAAAATGTTATCAATTTCATACGTTTTTTTTCTAATACATATGATAAAAAATTAGCTTAAGTGTTTTTTTAAGTTTCAAATTATTTTATGTAAAAAATTAAAATTCTTTTTTGTTAAAATTGTATGAATTTTTATTAATGTATTTTGAACATTTTTTTGTTTTTTACTGTGATAACTTATCAACAGAGAAGGAAGGTTAATATAATCAATGAAAAAAGTCATAATTTTGTTTGTGTTCATAAAGAATTCACCATTTCTTTTAGATAGTACTGTCATGTTCTTGTCTAATATGAATTTCTTTTACTAAAGAAATATGCATTTATACCAGAAACAGAGAATATTAAAATGGTATTTATTTTTTCTTTTATAGGATGAGTACTCCATTTTTCCTCAGTCATATTCTATGGACATTCATGGTTATGTTTTAGTTTATTCTGTAACATCAGCTAAAAGGTATGCTTCCTGGAGTATTCTCTAGTTTAATTAAGAAAATTAGTATAATATGTGCAGGGCATTAGGCACAAAGACCAGATATTATAATAGATACAAATGTACATAATATGATTATTTCATTTCTCAGCAGAAGAATTAAAGAAAAAAATCCAGATAATATGCAAATCACCCTTCAGAAATAGGAAATGTTTGATTAATATAATGTTCTTATGAAAATAAAAATAAAACTATGTGCAAAAAAAAATGCATAAAAAACCTATTAGACTCAGACTAGACATGCATATAAATATTCATATTCAAAAGTTGCCTGTAGTAAGTTATATAATTACAATATATTTTCACAGACTTTCACAATTCCTATGATAAAACAAAAAGAATATTTGGGAAAATGTTTGAAAAAAGCATTATTAAGTATTGGATATTTAATATTACATGATTGGAAGACTGAATTGTAATGAATTTTAAGAGGCTTAAAGCAATGTGCAGTAGTAATTAGGATATATTTGTGTGTTCAGTTGTTTAAATATGTACAACTTAGACATTAATTTTCACCTAGCTTTGAAGTGGTGAAGGTCATTTATGAAAAGTTGCTGGATATGACTGGAAAAGTGCAGTAAGTATCAATATTTTATAAACAAATGTATTAAGAACTTAAAAGTCATAGAATCAGAATCATTAAATAAGAAACATAATAATTCAACTGCATTAAGTAGGTAGAAATTTCTTTCTTCAGAGGTGAATTAAAATAATCTTAATGGATTTCCAATTCATTTCAAAGAAGTAAAGATTTTTTATCTTCAAAAAGTTCTCAGATTTGACATTTTGTGGTTCAATAAATTACCTCTTTCCAAACCAAGTGGATCAATTTGACCCATCTTGGAAGGGTGAAAATATAAATACTTTAACTCTGAATTTACTATGTATATTTCTTCACAAAATTTGGCTAGCTTTTAGTAAATGTTATAAGTTTATTTACATACATTGATAAATTGTTTCATTAAATTTTGAATGTAAAATGCCGTGACATGCTTATTTTTTGGTGCTGTTGTACACAAGGGATTAAAAAAACTCTTTTCTCTCATAGGTTTGCTCTTTTTGTATTATTAATTAATATATATTGAAGAATGCTTGCTCTTGATTTGGGGTCAGAGCTTCTTGATGTTATAAAACAAATAGTTTATAACACTGATTGTTTTTAGAAACAAGAGAATATTGGAACCATTATGTAATTAAATGCTGGAAATATAACTATTAAAATACATCATTTATTAAAGTTCCTGTGCCAAAAAGTAATGATTTATTTAAGAATGACTACGTAAATATAGATAACAACTGAAAATCACATATTTTTGCATTTTAATTATATTGAGTTTACAGTAAATATAAGTTGATTTAAAAAATTTATATTTTATTTAGATTTAAAAAGAAAAAGAAAAATAAGTAATTTATTTGTCCAAAAAACTTGAAGAAAATATTTTATGAGTTCTAAATTGTTATAAAAAAATGTGAAGTTATTTCAGAAACAAGTTTAAAAGGTGTAGTTTGTGTACAGATTTATCAAGAAACGAAAAATGGTACTTCAGAAAGAGTAAAGTAGCAAATTTTGTGCAGAATTTTGTAGTTTTAAATAATTACTGAGATAAGTTACACATTACTGAATCAATTTTTATCAGAAAAACTGAAACAATTGTAACTGGGAAATAAATTCTGATAGATACTAAAGTTACATTCCAGAAAATCATATCTCTCCAAAAAATGTTGACCTTTAAAAAATGAGAGAGAATAATTCATTTGGAAGACAAAAAGACAACTACACACCAGGACAAAAGAACATTGTTACTGAACCAAGATTATGAATTTTTGAAACATCAACTCTTGTTGATCACACTTGTTTCACTAGCAATATTTAGTATGCTGATAAGTCATTGTAGTTTTGCATGTTGTTGGCTAGTGTTCATTGATACAGTACCTGATTATCTTAAAGAATCTGAACATCATCGACTGATATTATGTAACACGTAGACAAGAACACTTGTAAATGGTCGAGGCAGTCTTTATTAAAAATAAAAACTATATGCTATTAAAAACTGTTATATTACTCTTTATTAATTCACCCAGATCGTGAGCCAACATAAGTATGTAATCACAGAGGTATTTTTTATCTTCATAAAGAAAAGTTCTTCTAGTCTATTTTAATACATAAATTATCATATTATGTGGCTGCAAATCTTTTAGCAGTTGATTAACCCTTTTGTAATGGGTAGGTCAAAGTGCACATGTCACAACCTATTACAGAGTTACATTCAAAATTTAATTAAACTACTTTATTATCAATGTATACGAATAAACTTGGCATCAGAATCTAGTTAATAAATGAGATTTTAATATTAAATAAATTTTAAGTTCTTAATTTTTATAAGGAAATATTTAAAAAAATCCTCAGTCCTTCCTCTTCTCTAATTTATGTATCACAATTCTCAGATGTATGGAATTGAACATAAATTACTTATTATAATATAGATATTACTCAGGCAAAGCATAATTTTTATAGCCTTTAATCTCATTTGTTGACAGAGCCATAAACTAGAAAATCAGATGTACCTGCTGTGTCCACCTGTCACATCCTCTCTTTCACAAATTGCCAATAGTTTTCTCTGACATTTTGTACAATATTATTTGTATCCAATAGAAAGCCAGAGTTTTAATCTGTCAAATGATGTATTATATCATGTTGTTTTCTGTACAGGGCATTGTCTATTTCATTGTTCAGTTTGAAATTGTTTCTCATGGGAATCACATTGACAAGTTTAGCTGAATTTTTAAAGACTTTTATCACACAGTTAGAAAGCCAGAAAAATTATGATAGTTATGGGACTTTGTTTGCTTTTTGCATGTTATTATTCTGTGTTCTTAGGTGCATTATTTAATTAAATAGAAAATTAGCTAAAAAGTAGGCATAAGTTTTCATCAACAGTTGTCAGCAAAAAAAAGACCCAGGTACGTACTATAATTCTTGATTTTCATGTGTGTTATTTATTCATTACTATAAAAGTAACTAAAATGTAAAAATTAAAAACTTGTTAGATAAGTCAAGGTAATTAAAAAATAATAGATAAAATAAAGTTTTTCTGAAAAAAAAGTTTGATATTTGTTTAAGGGGTTTTAGAGGTTACATGAATGAAATTTTTCAGATGAAAAGTATTTTTAATCTTAACATGGAAATCTCTTTGTACACGGAGCAGTCAACACTTCGACTCCATATATTTATGGATAAAGTTTTAGTAAAAATACTTAATTAAAAATTCTGTATTTTTGTCTACAAAAGACTTGTAATGTTTACTGAAAGCTTACCAAATTTTGTGAGGGCACATTAAGTACTTTCAAAGTTATAGTATGTATACCTTCATGGATACATGGGGGTTACAAGGTTATGTAAAATACACAAGCTTGTTGGGAAAGGGTTAAGGTGGAAAGAAGCATTCACACAGCTTTGTACCTTGTGAAAACATTTTGAAAATAGTCAGCTTTTAAACTAAACAGATGAGATGACAAACATGCTTTTGTTTTTTAAATTTATGCATTAACATAAAAGAAAACATTAATTTTTTCACACGTTATAGTGCAAACTGGGGATCCTTGTAATTTTTAAACAATTTATCAAAGCTCATTTTATTTTCTTTATAGTTTAGATCATTCATTTAAAAGTTTATGTCCAGTGATGTGTATATATTTAAAATAATATTTATATAATTAGTGATGTATCATTATATTGTTAAGTTATGCACAGATATACTGATATAGCACTTTATCATTTTATGTTTCAGTGTGCCAATAGTGTTAGTTGGAAATAAAGTTGACTTGCACATGGAAAGGTAAAAAAACAACTTTGCTGGTGTTTTTATTGATGATAATTTCTATGTGCTACAAGTATAATCACCATCAATGCTATCAACTGTATATATTATATTAAAAATAAATAACCAATTTGAAATAGAGACATGTATTAAAATGGTATGTAAGCATAAGACTTGTTTCTTTATCTATTGCAATACATGTGTATTGAATTAGTTTATGTTAAAAACAGAATACAGTATTTAAAACAGATAGAATATTATTATATTTTTTATGGAATTTTATAGTAATTAAAAAATGATGTAAAAGTGAATTGTCAGTAAATTGTCTTGTATGTCTCCATTAATTCAGTATGCTACAATATACTGGTCTCACTTACTATCTTGGTATATTTGAATGTTGAGGTTTTGAAATTTTTTACTTGTTAAAACAGTGATTTTTTTTTTTACTTAGTGATACTGCTTTGTATATGATAAGTTTCATTACTTGTACATTTTGACTGTAGAACTAAAGTTTGGTATTTGACTGATAAAAAAATGAGCATTGTGGTTAGTCAGATATGATAACATATTGCTAATAATTTTTACTGTCAAAGAAATATCAACAAGCATTAAATATTTTATTGAACATTTTTTAACCTCATATATTGTAAGTTTGTGAAGATCTTGCTAGGCTATGGTCAAATCTTAATATATTATTTAGAAAGTAAAGTTTTTTTTCCACTTATAACTTCAAGTGCATAATAAACTCAGCAAAATGTATCTATATCTTATCTCTGTGTGTTGTAACTGTATACTTTCTTTTAACTTATACCAGAACTTCAACACTATTATTCTTTAACTAGGCTATAACAAATCATCTGCCAAAACAGTATCACAGACTAGTAAATAGGTTCCTAAAATCTCTACTTTTCCAACATGAATTTGATCTTCTGTTATCAATTGTTTCACTGTCCTGTTTCCTGCCATTATTTTATTCAATATAATATTCACAACATTAAAGTTTTCCATTATCTGCTGTTTGTATGTTGGGTACAAATTATTAAATTGTCCTGTACTTAGGGATTTTCAACAGTACAGGGTTCATAAAAGTCCTGAAAATCCCTGAAAGTCATGTATTTTTGTAAATATATTTTTCAGCACTGGAAATCATAGAAAATTTGTTTTTTCTTTAATTGGAAGTTTCTGTAAAAATCCATGAAAGTCTAATCCAATATCTCTCTCATCCCATATTTTTATTGATGAGAAGCTGTACCATTATGTATCTCAGTTCTGCAATAAATGACCTTTAGAAAATGTAACTAACAAAATGGGAAGTAATTGACTTGGCAATATGTACTGATCAGTAACAGGCTTTGAACTAGGTATCTCTGTCTGCAAGCAGACAGATGTCACCTGAGAGTTGGTAGAATGATATTGTTAACATAAAATAAGCTCAAGACTTGTTTGTCATAAAAATGTTGTTAGGATAAAAACATAAACATGTCAGAAATAATTAACACTGTTTCTAGCATAAGTTCTTCATTAATAAAGAGAAGAGAGAGAAAAATGCAAATCCAACTAGTAACAATATGGTAGAATAAGTACCATAAACCTAATTACTGTGCAAGAAATATTTACCTTTAAAGACGGCCCATCAACTTATACCTGGTTAAGTCATTTGTTAGGTAACCAGTGGTCAGTCTAGGCTGGAATAATTTGCTTGATATTTTGGCCTCATTGCTATATATTTGAGGATAATCTTCTGCTTTTTAAGGGACAGTCAGCACTGAAAATACACTAATGTGATGTGTGTTATTAATATGATTTTGTCTCTTTATGTTCTTAGTAGTTTTAATAATAATTTTACTTGTAAACATCATAACCTCTGATGATTGATACACATGATAGCACCCTTGACAACAAATAGTTATACAGAACAGTTACTGATTTTCAACAGTGAGTATGCATTATCATACAAGAAAAGTTACAGACTGAATACCTTGTTGAAATATAAAATTTGTATCATCCTGTAAGGTTTCCATTTCGTTAAAATGATCTTTGTTTGGTGGAATTGCAGCAGTAAACTAATGTTTAAAAATAGTGGAATTCAGTTATGTGGGAAAACCATGAGATATACAACATTGTTAGTGTGCACAACAATGGGAAAGTGGTGTCAGTAACAATATGACTGTGAACCTATGCTTTGCAGACATGGTGAACATGTCATGATGCATGTTTGGTACAGGTTGACTCATTGCCCTATTGAAAAGTTGAAATAATATCTTTATTAAATACTAGTTAGATTTAGTTGCTCATTAGAGGAGTTTTAACTCTGTTCCAGCCACAGTATTTGGTAGAAAGACATGAGGCTTTATCATTTATTATTAAACTGAAGTTGGAAAAAGCTGAAATATACTTAAGGGAGTGTAAATGACAAAGAATTCTTTAGTTTGCTTTATTCAGTAACGTTCAATCATTTATAATTTTTTAGCAACCCCTTTTTGTTCATTTTGATCAAGTGTTTGATCAAGCTATTGCGAAAATTTTTATCTAATATGATAAAACATTAATTTAAATTTTGGTGGAGTTCAGGTTCTTCTAAAAATCAGTAAAATAGATCCTGGAAAGTGATGTTTAGTCCTGGCATTCTTTTATTTTATTTTTTTACATTAGCTTGTGTGAATCATGACTGGAAAGGGGTTTTACTTGCATAAAAAGCACACAAACAAATAACTGAAAGTTCTCTCTTTTGGCAAGTAGTTCAGTAATCCAGTAATTCTTAACTTGATGTAGGCTTCTGATACTTGATGACTTCATTGGAGTTGGAAATGATAGCATACATAACATATTCTTTCATACTTTCAGTTTCATTATTATCCATTTCTATTGATATTCTCTACTCTGGAGTGATTTACTTGCTACTGAAATTACAGTAATCAGAATATCCTTGACCAGATATTTTGCTTGAAACCTCTCCATCACAGTTGGAGAACATGTAAGGCAGAGTTTAACAAATGATCTATAATACAATCAACTTGCATCACCTACTCAACTGAGCTTTTGATTTTCCATGACTAGAGGTACATTTGTTAGTTCAGGAACAAAATATCAGCTCAAACTTCTCACCTCACTTTTTAAAAGCTAATACAGGATATTGAATGAAACTCAAAATTTATTTTCACACAGAAATAAATCAGCATCAAGCCAACATATACTGAAAACAAGTATTTTTTTATTAATATTGATTTTTATTTTCATAACACTAGTTAAGACCATATTTTGTGCAGTTTTAAATTTATATTACATCATGCAACCTATTGGCTAAGGCTAGAGTATGTCAAAAAAATATCTAGATAAGCTTTTGTCTTTTTATTAGACTTAAAGTGACTTTTCAAAGTGATTAATTTTGACACTTGTTCATATATTCAGTTCAGTACTTGTAAAGGGAATTTATACAAATATGGCAAAATTTACTAGTGGTCAGATAATATGCTGTGAACTGATTGGTCAGCTAGTAATGATTGGTTAGCCAGTACATTAACTTACCAACCCTATATAAAACTAGTCTGTTGCCTCGTTATATTAGTTGTTTTTTGATTTATGTTGATGTTTCTGGAGATCAGGGTAACAAATATCAATTTAATGGGTGCATGTTGATTAGTTGGTGTATCATTTATAAAAGAGAAAGTGTGATTAATTTTTAGAGTAATTTCCTACGAAGAAGGCAAGAAAACGGCTGATGATATGAAAGCAGCTTTCTTAGAAGCTTCAGCAAAGCAAAACCAGGTTGGTGGTAACTTACTAACTTTCATTTGTAAACTTGGTAGTGAGAAATTTTTGTTTTGTACTCAGGATGTCATATTCATAGTTAGAATCTCGGTAACAGTTAATATTTGCAAAAAATATAATTTCATGCACTTTGCAAAGTTTTCAGTTTATTTAAATATAAGTTTTCAGTCTGTTTTTTTTTAAACTTACAATAAGAAATAGAGGGGAAATGGACATTGGTGTATTCAGTCTGTTGTTCTTAATATTTCTATTTTTTATTTTAGTATTAAAAAACATGTTATCAAAAAATTGAGAATATAATGAGTATTGTATAAGTTTGATGACTGATTGAAGAATATTGTTACACTAAAATACCAGAAATTGGAGGTAATGTACCATTTTACATGTTTTTCTAATTAAAGGATTTCCTAAAAATAAATGTTCTTCTCATTGCATAAACATATTATTTAGATGTTCTAACATCTTGCATTATTGCACCCTTTGTCCTTCTCATGCTTATATATATATATATATAATATGATATATGATGAATGAATATACATAACCTGAACAGTAGGTAAATATGCAATACCATGTAATCTGAAAGAAAGAATAAATCCAACTTTATGGAACAAGAAGAAGTTTATATGGATACAAGTGTCGAAACATGTATGCATAAAACTTGTTCCATAATAGTGGATCTACGGTTACAAGTGTTGAAACATGTATGCATAAAAATTGTTCCATAATAGTGGATCTACGGTTACAAGTGTCGAAACATGTATGCATAAAAATTGTTCCATAATAGTGGATCTATGGTTACAAGTGTCGAAACATGTATGCATAAAAATTGTTCCATAATAGTGGATCTACGGTTACAAGTGTCGAAACATGTATGCATAAAACTTGTTGCATAATAGTGGATCTACGGTTACAAGTGTCGAAACATGTATGCATAAAACTTGTTCCATAATAGTGGATCTACAGTTACAAGTGTTGAAACATGTATGCATAAAAATTGTTCCATAATAGTGGATCTACGGTTACAAATGTCGAAACATGTATGCATAAAACTTGTTCTATAATAGTGGATATAAAGTTTCTTTTATATATATATATATATTCTTAACAATTTATTATGCACATATATACCACACCACTCAGCTGCCTTCAAGAATCCTTTGTGGTCTACCTTAATAGAAAAAAAAATCTGGAGATTTGTTCAGATTTCATTTGCTTCTTGTTTGTATAGTGAGAATTGTGGACAGACAATACCTTTACATTTTCAGAATTTAATATTAGTTTTTAAATCTTCCTCAGAAGTTCTTGATTTCATTATGAAGGTACTGAAATTGTTTTGAAACTGTTGGGTAACAAAAGGAAAAAAAGCAGGAAACACTCAAATTTAGGTACATTTGAATCATGGTTAGACAAAGCAAAGTATTGAATAATATGTCAACCATTCTATAACTGCTATATCTGGTGCCATTGAGGCATTTTGCCTAAACCAAGGCTAGCTGGAATATATGTGAGACATAATATTAGTTGAGACATAACTGTATTACCTAAAATTGCATAACAACAACTCTTACTGTGTAAATTGAATTGGTAATTTTTCAATAGTGCAAGAGATGAGTACTTATTCAAAGACATTTTAAAATTGAAATGGTTAAACATTTTGTGACTCATTCTTCAAAGTATCATGTAAGTATAGTTTACAACATCCTAAACAGATTAAGGAAACTGTACTTTTCTTTCAGAGTGTTACAGATATCTTCCACACAACTATAATGCAGATTGAAAAAGCAGATGGAACTGTTCAGGAGAAGTCTGGATGTATGGTGTCTTGAAATTTACAGCCTTGTACAAAAATTCAACTCTAATACTTATCACAAACTGATATTACTTTGTGCCTCACCAATACTGAAAACCTGAAGACAAGTTCAAGGAATTTACAATGTAAATTTTATTATGTTGACTTGAAATGTAGCTGCATTTCAAGAAGTTTCTAGTATATTGTGCCTCAACGAAGGAGTTTTCAGGGTTCTGAAATATTTGTCAGGCATCTAAGTATTAAAAAACAAAAAAATTAAAAAGACAGCAATAAAGAAGAATATTGGAACTTTTCTGTTATGTTTTGATGAATCATGTTATCCTGATAAATGATCTTCTTTCTTTAACTGCTGAAGATTATCTGAAGCCAAATTAACTTGGCAGAAACTAATATGCATGAAACAGATGCTAATTATTGGCTATTAGAATTTTGATGTTAGCCTGAAAGATCTTGTAAATAGTGACTTTGATTTATTAGTTACAAATACTTCTTTATGAATAGAAATTTAGAAGGTATTAGATAACTACACATGAGTAAGTTATTTAATGTATAATCAATTCCACATGCAACGTAGTTATAAAGGGCAAAATATGTACTATATGTTTGTAGATCAATATTCATATTTTGTAAATATGGTTACTTCTTTAACTGTTGAAACTGGGAAATAAGATTATCAAACTAATACATAGTGTCTTAGTAAAAAAAAAGTATTTTGTTGACTTCTAATGCCCAAATCTGGAGTAAGGAGTTGTGGTAAAGACAGCTTGGATATATATCATTTTGTGAGGGCAAATAAAAAATATCTGCACAATTGTTTCTTATTTAAGTTTAGACTACTCTTTCTTGCAGGATAAACTTTTGACTTTTCATTAAATAAAGTCCGATTTATCTGTTGGTAATAAACTTTTCCTATGATAGTTTTATGGTTTTAAGTTTGTTTACTATTACAAATAAAATTAGTTATGGGGTGATTTAGAACTTTAAGTGTTTTTGTTTTTTTATATTATGTGAGAAACAAAATAAAATCATTGAAAAATAGAACAATATACCAGTTGTAATGGCTTATTGTTTTTAATTTTTAGCTAAAAGAGTGAGTTTTCAACAACATCTATTGACTGTTAAAGATAATTTTAATCTTAAATAAAACCGAATTTCAGAAATGTTAAGACATATTACTGTTCACTCCATTTCTTTTTTTAACATTGTATGTTTCAAGTATTTTCACAAAAACTTTAATTTTGTGAGTAATATTTGTCAACATTTTACCATCCCTTCATCTGCACAGTAAGGTTATAAAACAATTTATCCTGAATATGGCAAATGAGGAAACTGGCAAATGAACAGTTTTTTTAAGTCATAGTAATTTTTCATCAATTCAGATTCCAATTTTAACTTTATGTTACTTTAACTATAAAGTTATGAGTCAGCCATTCAGAAATTGTGGGGGGGGGGGGGGCAACATTGAACTAGAAAAAACACACGTTCCAATTTTATCATCGTTATATATGTCACCTTAATACTAACAATCGTGAGATGGCCATTCAGTAATTCCCAGGTGACAACTTTGAACATGATGAAATACACTAGAGTAATTTCTCACATAAAAGTTTATGGTTTGATTTGATTTTTGCTTTGAAGAAGGCAATGAAACTCCCAAAATGTTTTGGTGACAATGAAAGGTTACTTTTGCTTAGGGCGATTCTATTTTTAACCTTGATTTGCAATGAATATGGTTTTCAACATATTCATGACATCTATGACACTATGAATGTAGTATAAACAATAATCAATGTTCATTTATTTCTCAATACTATCAATCACTGAATGATCTAAGACAATGAACCTAGTTGCAATGACAAATTATTTTACTCTTACTGTTCTTTCTTGTCATCTAACATTTTTGGGCTTTCTGATTGCTTTAACTTCAACAAGAACGTCATTGTGACTGCATCCACAACTCTTGCATTTCACGTTAACGTTACACTTTCCAGTTTTGCACAAAGTCTATGATAAACATGGCTGTTGAACATTCTCCCAGTGTATACTAACTAGTTTAACACTGAAAACAGCTCTTCTGTAGGTCAATTACTTTGAAAAAGACAATGGATTTTCATCAAAATCTTGATATGAGTTGGACTTATTTTTGAAATGATTTCTCTACAATAGGTAAACCAATGAGCATAAAAGTTGTACTGTTTGAAAGTGCTAACACTAAATTGTTGATGGAAGACAGCTTTAGGGCTTTTGATCATTTGGCATGTAATGTGATCCAAAACAGCTACTAACTTACATACAACTAACTACT